ATTATTATATTGAATATTAGCAGCAAAATACATTGATAATATTATCGCCTCCGTAAAGTTCAACTTTGCCGCGAAAGCCGTACTCGCCCCCTGATAATAGTAGTTCATACTTTGTTTTATGTGTAAGAAGGCTGTTTCATTTAAAAATCTTCTCATTTTTCCGACATAAAGACGTTTTATTTTTAACTCTTCACCTCATGAGCATATTGTTACAAGTTCAAACTGCTATGAAACTATGTAAAATGCTTCAATACTGCTATAACTTGGCACAATTGGTGACTGGACCATTGCCTCTGTAACAGTATGCTCAATCTTAAATTTCATGTTGTCATGGCAACGGGGGAAGTCTCAAAATTGCCAAAAATTACTTTTTTGTAGTGTTTTTTTCAATTAAAACTGATTTCAAAGTGCTGCAACTTCTCGATGGATTGAGATGGAGTAAAAGGCTTTTCAGAGTTGGTTACACGTTACCTTACGAACGACCTTAGGCCACTTTTAGCCCGTCAAATGTCCAAAATTTGATTTGACGATGGAGGGGCTGCACCCTTCAAACCCCCGAAACAGAAGGGGGCACATCCCCCTTCTGTAAACCCCCTGATGTACCTTTTTGATAGGGCCGGTGCCAAAAAAAGTGCTCACTTTTTTATCAACAATTTTCAAACAAAAAACAGTATTTGGGGCCTAAATAGGGTATTTTTTCATTGTCTGTGGCCTCAAAAAAGGAAGGGGTCAAAAATCCGTCAAAAACAAGTTATATCAGTTGAAGGGTTAAAAATTACAAAAATATCAAACCCAGTACCGGTACTATAGAGAATTGGTTCCAGTGACATAAATCTTTGACATTTTTACTTGACAATTAGTGTGGTAGGTAGAGCTTATCAAGGTACATATACATACAAAATTTGGCAGTCTTAGCTCAATATACTCTGGTTTTAATGGCCAGTAACATTTAGACCTGAAAATGATCGGCAGGTAGGACTAATGTATTAGCTTTTACATTCTTAAAGTTAATGACCATAAAAAATAACCCGAAAGGTTAACCAAGTATGATAAATTTGCCATGTCAATAAACAATGATTTCACTGTGACCTTGACCAAAAAACCTTAAAATATATAGAGGTCACCTACTGGCAGTGTCGTTACTTATTTTCAAAAACATTGACTTATAACCTCTCAAGTTATTGATTGGAAATGGATTTATAATGTCTTGATGACCTTGACCTTATGACCTAAAATCAAAAGGGGTCATTTACTGGCCTTGGGCAAAGTCACTGCCAAATTAGACAAAGATACACAAATGAACAATACACAAATAAATAACAAATATAGCGATTGAGGGTCGAATTACCCTCATCCAGATAGGATTATATATTTCTCCCTTGATAACCTCATAGAATGCTTTCATCATACCATCAAAATCTTCAATAACAGTGGCTTTAGGTTCTACCATTACAAGTTTACGAGTAAAAAACGTATTCCATAATCCTGTAAGTTGTACATGTACACATTCTCTTTTTAGTCAACATATTAATTTTAGTCCGCTTCCTGTATCTATCCAGTACTGGTGTCATAATAAGAATCAAGGTTGTGACCTGAGTAGGGCTCAAACCAATGATCCTTGGGTTAAGAGGTAGACATCTTAACCACTAGGCCATCACTCCCCCTTCTCTTGTATGATCAGTTACATCACATCTTTTAAAATGATTCTACTTAAGCTGTCATTGATTCAGTGCAAAGCGTTACAACAATATTTCGTATCGGATGACAATAATCGATAATACACAGATGTATCAATAATTACTTATAATAAGTTGTCTAGGATTCACTTTGATACCTGTTTAAATGATTTCAATAAAATACATGTTCTGTTCATACAATTATGGTGTTTCTTGTTTGGAAAAGCCCCAAAATCCCACCAAACATTTTTATATGACATCATTGCTTTGAAATATGTCCATTACATAACAACACATGGACACCTGCTTCTGTGTATGTTTTGGTGAAATTTAATTATTTCTAGACATTTAATTAGAAAAATCCATTTTTCCAAATTTGTATTAATTATTGATTGACAAAAACACCAACGACACATCTACATCGTGTATACTGATTTAGTTTTAGACGCTAAAATATAAAAAGTATCAAATATATTTTAAGGAGCAAGTTTTACAATTTCGAGAATAAATAATTTTACACCTAAAACAAATGTTTGCACAATCATTAATTTCACAGTTCACACAACATTTCAATCGACAATAAGTATCTTTAAAAAAATTTAGTAATTTCACAAAATACAAAACTTATGGAATCATAGAATCAATTTTCACAGTTCATAAATTTCATAAAAAAACAACAAATATCCAACAAATATTTACACACATGTGTTAAGTATGAAAATTAAAACTAAAAAGTAATTAATGAAACTCTTTACCTCAAACCTTTCTATATATTTCTCCAATGCTCTGTATGACGGCAGGAAACACAAGACGCCATATGGAACTTTCTTTGAAATAAAAATTCACTATGACGTCACTTGAAGATCGTTCAGCACGACATTATTGTTGTGTATACATGTTAAGTGGTTCTTTTAGTTTCTTCTATTTGGCCATTTTCAACTTGGGTAGTTCCAGTATTCCTACTTGAATACTGTATAATCACCCTAAGGACCATACGCCGCTTTTCATGGAATGGCACTACTGTGTCACATTGACGGTTCCATGATAACCGCCGTATGAACAGATCTGCAGATGTTTTTAAATTCAGAATTTCACCATTTTCGTGTTAAAAAATGTTGATTTCTGCTTAAGCCGATGCTAGGAGGCGTGGACGGTAACTTGCACTTTCCAGTACCGTCCATGAACAGGCTCAATCAAACCGAGCCTGCAACATTTTCAATTTTGTCGTGTTGGACTGTCTTAAGGGATTCTGTTTTTCTCTATTTTATCACATGTATGACGTAGTCTCAAAGAAGCATACAAAATGGCGGACTTTAATGACAATAAATGTAACTATCTTAAACAATAAGTATTATTCACACATTTAATGTGGATTGACATAAAAGGTTAGTGATATTATGAAAGCTAATTATACAAGCGTAGGCTAAAAATAGATAGGTCTAAGGTGATAGGCCACTTATTTCGAAAATGAAGGTAGGGTGATAGATTTATCGGCGCATATCTGTATCTATGTAACGGACAGACGGACGAACGACGGAGAAGTTATCCCTATAGCATATGTCGCCACAATGTTGTAGAGGTAACACAAAAAGAAATTTAATTTCCTTTTGAAATATTTTTTTAAACTGTTTAGAAAAGGGAAGTGGCTAGCCGTACAGGCCCGTACGGCTAGCCAAAAGTTTAAGCCGTGCGCGAGTCACGTACTCCAGGACACACTGTATTGTCAAGCCGTACAGCACATTTAAAAATTAAAGTTTTTAAAACAAGCGTATAAAAAGAACAAACACTCTTATTTGAAGCCATCCCTTTAATTTCCTCTTTCAAAAAAAGAAATATGCATCACAACAAGAAAAGTATAGTTCTGGCCACTGACCAATTTGCTATTCTTAAAAGATAAAACAGTTACACTGAAAATGACACAAATATTCAGATCATGTATGCACCTGCAAACGTATATTAGAGCCTTACAATTAAGGGCCACAACTCTTACTAAATGTAAACTTCATTTGAGGTAATTGTTCTTTAAAATGTGTTATAACATTAAGATACATAAGTATAAATGATGTTTTGATAAAAATATATTAAGAAATCAGCATGTGATTAAGACACTGGGTAATAATAACATAGAAATATATAAAACCAAATTCCAGGAGGTAAATTTGTGTAAATGCTCATTATAACAACTTTACACATGTGAATATTAGCAAAATATATTTTAGCATTCACAACCTTTAAACAAACTATTTTTTCCTTTTTCAACAACACATACATGAAAATAAATCCTGTACTGATAGAAAAAAAACAACTTTAATATCCTCTATATACTCATGAACATGTAAATTATATTATTATACAAAACAGGTTTTCAACTCTAATAAAAAAATATTTTATGATTTATAATAAAACAAAACATGCAAGTCAATATACTGTTATCGCCAATTAAAGTGTTTTTTTTAAAAAGTATTGATCTTAAATATTGCTATGTATAACTTACACCAAAGAGACTTATGTGATTTTCTTAACTTTTATATATATTTGTAATTGTCCTGATTTTTTTCTCTCTTTATTTTCAATCAATTCAGGACCAATAACTCCTAAAATACTTCATAAAAACGACAATAATGCACATGCTGTAATTAAATATAATAGTAAATTCATTTATTTACAAAGAACTTTTTGAAAAATTCCAAACTTTGCAAGTGTGTGCATTGACAGTGTCAGACCAAACATACATCTTACAACCAAAGGGGGATAACTTCAAGTTTCATAATATCATAATAGTAATAACATGCAATGAATAATAATTATATATTTTCTTAATGACATTCTCCCTATGTGATAAAATTTATATCAAACTTTGCTGGGTTTTTTCATACTGAGATTCTGTTATAGAAGATATTGACTTCCTCCAGTAATTCTTTCAAGACTTAGTTCTATAATAACACTTAACCTCCTGAATTTTTGTAATGGATTTGCCCTGCTGTGAGTTTGAAACAGTCTACTAGTATTCAAAGTTTAAGGGATTTCAATATCAAGATACAAAAAATTTAAACTACCAACAGCGTAGAGCCTGGTCAAGACTACATAGCCTGGCTTTTTACTTGTGTGATAAGCTAATCACTTTCACTTCCAGCTGGTTAAAGGTCTAAAATATTTCTTTCACAACAAATCATTTAGGTTGACTACAACTTCATTTGGGCAAGTTAAAAGATTGAAGGCAGATCAATTGTCAGACTTCTCTTTTATCACAGTCCTTTTAAGTCTGAAAATAGTAGCACCAGTCTGTCAGAATGACAAGATTAACTTGAATGTGAAATATCCACATCATAACTTAGCAGCTGATGAAAGAATCCATGTCTGAAATAAGATAAGTAATAATTAGAAATAATTATTTTCATTCATTATTTGTTTATGGAATAGAAATGGACTGTGTGGTAGGGTTTTTACAACACACCGACACGGTAAAGGTCAAATGGCGATTTTCCAGTCCAGTTGTACTGGTGGAGAAAGACCTCAGTTGCCCCTCTGTAGTTCAGGCACAAGTCGAACTTTTGACATTCTGTAAGACAGGGACTTTGTGTGTACATATCAGTAGTACTCTGACTCTAAAAAAAGCCCTTTAACATAAGTATTTATAAATGTTTTGTTGTTTTGTTTTGTTTTAAGTTGCACCAACACTTGGGTTATGGTGACTTTTCAGCTATATTGGTGCAGGAACTCCTCAGGGCATCCCTCCTTGCATCATTTCAGATATTAGCAGGCACATAAATAGAACCACCATCAACATTTCATCTGAATAACTTCCAAACATGAAAGGTCAATTTTTATCACACTTAAACTTAAAAGGTATAAAATTATAAAGAATCTTGTCAAAAAACAAGATTTTGTCTAATAAATATTCTGATTATTTTGGTATAAAATAAGACAAGTACCTGTCCAGTTGTATATTGCGAGGTAGAATCTGCCAGCAGAACTCTAGCTCCAATCACTGTATCATTCTTACATTGTCTACATTGTAAATACTGTATACAACATCCTAATGTCTCGTCATATACACTGTTCAACAATAATCCTGCAAATTATAATATGTATACAATCAATATGTTAGTAAAGACTAGCATTGGGAAATAAGAATTTTTAATGATGTTTTCTGTTTCAGCAGAACTTGTGATCATCAAAATGGTTTGTTTTGTAAATAAAATTAAAAACTTAAGTATTGTAAGCTAGCTGGGTAGCTTCCTCACAAATAATCTAAAGTCTGCAACGGTATTGAAACCCTATGCCTTAAGTGGTAAGCGCTTTGATGTCAATGACCTTAACCACTTGGCAACGAATGCCCCTTCAGTTGTGTTCAATCTTCTCTGTGTTCAATCTTCAACAATAAAGGTATTGGAAAAATCCTTTTCATTCAAAGAACAGTTTTAAATTCAAATGCAAAGTTACTTTTTTATAATTAATTAGACAAGCAAATACACGTTAATTACCTTTGTTATTTGTTTCAGATTCAACTGTTTGTAATTGGCAATCCTTGGTCTTCATGTTGGGAAAATATATCAACTCTGTGTTCTTCTTGAAAACACAAGACAAAAATTCTGGATGTTTTTTCTGCTTCTCATATTGACCTAGTGGTAACAACTGTTTACCACATTTTATGCATGATAAACACTGGTTTCTGGCCTGAAAGATAGGAAATGAAGCACAAAATTTATAGCAATAGAAAAACTGTTATAAAACATTAATTTAACATATATAAGTTTGTTTGGCTTTTTTTTAAAATACAAATGTATTCTTCTTCTTCTGCAGGTAGAGGTAGGAAAAGGAAAATATCTCGTTATGCACTATTCACTTCCTTGGGCTCTTTTTACCATTTTTAATTGCAGAAGCCCCTAGACACACCTATGTGCTTTATTGTTTATTAGGGCACCAGTCAGTAATAGTAGAGAAAGAAGACCTTCAGCATGCTAGATGAAAAGAGACTTCTTTTTCACACGAAAAACTTCACCTGGCAAGATTCTAAGCAACAAATCAACCACTGCAAGTGACAATCTTAATGAATCCTCCCCTCTTCTACACACTACTTGACATGTACTGTATAAGTGGTAAAGTTAGCAAGATGGAAATATTGGCGAATTTTGCGAATTGACGAAAATCGCTCAAATTTACTCTAGCATAAATATCAACCAACCTGTCATAAAATGCTACACTTGCACGATTCGCTAATATTTCCACACGCGAAAATTCTTGAATTTTTAATTCGCTAGCTTTTTGACACACAGAAATATCTACTTTATAAAGTTATTCATTAAGTGAAAGTAAAGAATTTACTATTATATCTTCATGCATTAAGAATTTTACCTTATTTTCTTTTTCATCAGTGTTTTCATTATCATCGTATGTGACACCTTTTCTGGACCGCTTTGACCACTCTTGAAATTTACTTGTTGATTTACGTTTCCTTCCACCACGTCTTCTGGTATTGAGAAACTCCTCATCCGAATTCACATTATTACCTTTATAAAGACAAACAATTGCAAAATATATGTAACAATAAGAGAAGAACAATGTTAATGACGATCATAAGCAAAGTTAATTTCTTTTTGAAAATTAAAAAATTTACATCAATTATGCTACTTTGTACCAGGACATTGTTCTAACCGACCTTCGCAGCTCAAAACAGTTCACTATCTATGGGAGAAGATGTGTAAGCAGCCGGATAGCTCAGTTGGTAAAGCAGCAGAGTGGTATTCTGAAGGTCCCTTTCTAGCTGCACATTTTTTCTGACCATGCAATGGTTTTTTCTCATATAATTGGGAAGAGGCATCCGTATCTTGATTTTGGGGAAAATTATCACTAAAATTGCTAATTTGGGAAGTAAAGAGGTTGGTTTAAGTAGAGATTTTGGATCAAAGAAAACTTCCTTTGGAAAAAGGCCTTGTATAAGCTTCTGTTATAAAGTTGAAAAATCACTGCCCTGTAACATGACTTTACACAACATTATTGTCTACAACTGTTCAAACTGAAAAACATATTAAAAATTTAATGTTTTTAGGCATTTGAAACTCAGTGGAGTTCCTTTAAGAACAAAGAACATTGGTACTTTTGCCTTTTTATTTTAAGGGCAATGTATATGTACAATAATGTTGATTCTAGATTGCTTTCCTAAAAGATTATTTCAATATTTCAAACATTTTGTATGAAATTTAGTGATTTAAGATTTATATACATGTAAAATAAAAACATGAATAAAATAATCACCTGAAGCCGATTCTCCATCTAATAATTCCTCAACAACATTCTTTTTATCTTTTGTTTCTTGTAGAACATCACCTGACTTCTTTCTACCCTGTTTAACTTTATCTACCACTGACATATCTACCTTCCCTCTTGTTGTAGACTTAATCCTTCCTCCACCTTTACTCTCTTCTTTAAAATCATCAGCATTATCTTTATCATCATTTACTTCATTAATATTAATTTCTCCATCAATATTACTATCTCCATCTTTTGAAGTTCCCTTACAGTACTCAATCTCAGATTTAAGCGTTTTTGTAGAAAGTGAATTCCTTTTCTTGAAAATTGGTTTCTTCTTCGTGCTATGTTCTTTATCTAAATCAGCAAGGTTATTTGTTTTATTTACACAATCAGGAGCTGGTACATCTGTCTGGCCATCTTCAAAGAGTACAGGGGATGTACATGTTGGCTGTAACTGTCTTATGGTTGATGTAGTTAGAGGATTTTGTGAAGTGTTTGACATAGTTTGTGTAAAACTACATGATGGTTCTTCTTTCACAGAGTCAGCAGTTTCTGTTTTGATTTCCTGAAAAAGTAACATTACTATTATAAAATCTAACATGTTTTCTTGTATAAATCCTATCACACACGCACACACACATGCACCCACTCTCACACAAATACTATAACAATCTATAAAGATATTATTCTGCTTTTAACAATATTTTTTGACAAGAGCACCACAAAAGTGGGGCAATATGTACACCTGTTTGTTTTATATTTGATGCAAGCATAAATATTAAATGACAAATTGGAATTGGTGATATATAAACAGGAGCAATTTCAGTCAAGAGAAGTCACCCGAGAAGAACCATTAATATTGCCTTGATCACAGCGTCATGATTAGTTAACATGAAGAAGCTAGAAGAAGACAGTTAACAACATCCAAAGTATTTCTCATAATAAATCAATCATACTTCAAGGAAATTTATAAGTGAAAGTAAATTATTGCAACAAATCTTAACATAATATGATAATGTGATATTTGATCTGGAGTTTATATTTTTTTCAGCAAAAAAAACCTCTGAAACATTTAAAGTTCATCTAAATAGTTGATCTTAATATTTCTTCAATTCATTTATGTGATTAATTAAAAACCTGTTCAGATTGTCTCTGAGGTGTAACAGCTGCAACTGGAACTTTAGCTGGGGTTTTTGGAAGCTGGCAAAATTTTAGGAACTTGTTCTGAGGTTCTGGATCTCCTGTAGAGGAATCAGGTACCACCACTTCCTGTTCTACCTTGACTGGTTTTTTGTCCGGCTCTGTTTTGACTGTATCTAGTGTTTTAACTAGACTGTCATCATTTTTCTCTGGAAATGACATCAGTACATCAATTTATGTCTAATTTCAGTCCAATTAAATAATATATTGAAGATATCATCATTTCTTATTACTCTTAAGTATAAGGTATTTTATAATCAGTGCTTGAATTTACACTTTTTTGGCACTTGTTATAGATTTGAAAATTAGCTCACATACGCCCTTAAATAACATAACGAAGACTTTTAATTACCTTACATGAAAAAAACATAATGTGCACACAACCACAAAATTAAAGTCTAGTTTAGAATCAAATACATGTATATTCTTATTGCAACACCACATTCATTTTTATTATTTAATATTAGAACCTCTGTAAAGGAGTAAAATTCATTTGCTACAATCATCTTTCCAGAAAAATGTTAAAAACAAATTTTCAATGGAGGCTGCTGAATACATATCCAAATGCAAATTTGCCTGTAACTTGTACACAACCTCTTAACACAAATCAGTGGATAATGTTACCTAAACTAATCATGGGTTTTGTTTCTAACCAAATATAAATCTAATTGATGGAGTATCTAAAAAGTTAATGAACAGGAATGATATGTCTAAAATCACTATGACAGAGAAAAAGCATTCACTCTAACATAATGTAGACGTTTGAGCGTTCAAAAATATAAAAAGAAATAAATGAAATACCTGTTTTAATTTTCCTTTTCGTGTTAGGTTTAGATTTTCCTTTTTTGTTTGGTTCAATCAAGAATGCCCTCTCATTTTTCTCCCCTTTATTTACAACAACATAGTAGGCCTGATTTCGTGAGGCTTGACTTGAACTAACAAATTTCTTCAGTTGTTCTTCTGCACTAAGTGTGCTTGACCCAAGAGTAAACACTATATCTGCTTTCTTTTCTTCTTTAGACACATTTTCTGATTTTATACCATCAGTGGAATTGATTTTGTCCAGCTGATTACCTCCCCTAAAATCAGATTTTAGACTGGTTCCTGGCATGGTGGCAGACTGTGGCAATTTGGTTCCCTGCACCAGAAGTTGAGCCATTGTCAATAAAATACTTTCATGTGGATTTGTTCCAGACATGTCTAAAACCACTTGTTGACCTGCAGCTTGAGTTAACGGTAGAAATTGAGGGATCATGGCTGGAATCTGGGCTGTCATCTGTTGATTGCCTTAATCACATAAATCAGCAAATAAGATTTGTGTTTTTTTGAACTGTTCAGTAAAAATCTGAATGATCTGAAAATATTTTGTGCATACAAAACAAAACATACAGGTTTCAGAAGCATTAACAAGCAATTAACATTTTCCTGCAAAATTTCCTTGTATCTAGAGAAACAGAGAAGATGAAGCTTAAAAAGGACTTCGTTTTAAATTTAAAGAAACTCCATAAAATTAAGGTTCAAAAGCCTAAAGAGATTAAATTTTAATTTCTTGCAGAGATCGACCCACTAAGGCACTAAAAACAGGAAGACATGAAAAATATTATATGTATCTTACACCGGCTGCCAGTACAGACCAGAATATCTAGCTTGAGGGCAACTGTTTACGGAGGTAACGAGGCTCTCCCGAGTTTCCGCTAAACAGTTACCCCGAGAGGTAGATATGTAGATATTCCCGTCTGCACCGACAGACGGTGTTTGATTCTCCTTCTTGCATATTACATATTAATTATTTTAAGAACAGAAAATTATGAAAATTGATATTCTCATTACACACTTTTTTTCTGGATGAACTTACAACTTCATTCATTACAGTTAAGTGACGTCATCCTAAGAACGCAATTAATTCATAAAAGGTGCGCGGCAATGACGTCATTTTAAGCATGTGACTTGTCTTACATGGGCGATGTAAGACAGGGTTTTCTAGCACCGGTGTAAACGGCAGATAAATTCCTGTCTGATAATTATGCAAGAAAATTAAGAAATATATACAGTTGTTTAGGCAGTAGCGGATAGCTAAGGAGATCGACGCTGCTTATGTCTTTAATAATAATATTCAGAAAATCAAATTGATGCCATTCAGTAGTCAAACTACTTCCCTTTTTAAAATAAAATATTTTTAGCAGTATCTTTGACATTACATGTAGTACTCTTTGTTTATGTTCGGCATATAGTTCAGGTAGTAGCGGATAGCTTTGGGGAGTATGGGATAGGTAGGTGAAGGTCAATGAGGGCGAGTCTCAAAACGTTCTAAATTTAGTATTTACAAAGTACATGTCACAGAAACATGTTTTGGGGTTACTGGAATGAAAAATGTTACATTTGATAGTAATCTTTCAAATTTTTCTACAAGTAAATAAATATATAAATAAATATCTGGTCAACAACTTATGATGCAACTGTGACATGTAATAGTTTGAACATAGCTATAGTTTACCATAGTTATTTCTTTAAAAAATCTATAATTATATCAACCATAGTAAATAGCTTTATTTATTTAAAAATGATTTATTTATTTTGTAACATCACAGTATACAAGCAATGATAACTGTATAATATGTTGCAATTAAACAAATTAAAACAATATCTGATGAATTAAAAAGTAAACTATATGTTCTGATTACATAAATTACAAACATTTTGCAATAAACTTGAGCTGAGCATGTGTATTAAGTAAATGAAACAACAAAGTTCAATGAAAAAGAGGTCTGTTTTACATTAAAGCCATTATTAATCTTATAACCTAGTTGAAAGAAGTGGTAATAATGATGGTATATTCAAAGTATCAATACAACTGAGTTTAAATTATTAAAAGATAGAATAAACAAGCAATTATCATAGTATTGCATGCAATCCATAAGTCCCCTACCGGTAAGAGCCCAAGCAACATTCTATGGGCCATTGGCCATTCACTTAGGTTCCTATTTAAAGTAAATTTGTTGAAAAAGTTCTTTAAAAGTGATCACAGGAAATAGTTTTTATGTACAGACAGACTGAAAGACACTCTAAAGTTATTTTTTAAAGATCCCTGTTAATCAAAATATAACATTTTTAAAATCCTATCATGATTGAAGAAGTTGGTGTAAAAATTACCAATTTCTCAAAAAAAAGTCTAAGTTCAAAAGGGGCATAATTCTGGAAATAGTCTTGCTAGAGTATTGAACACTCACAAATGTTGAGTGACAATAAGAAACATTTATATGAAGTTTGAAGTAGATACATTCAGAAAAAGAAGTTATTAAAAAAAACAATGTTTTTTCCATGAAAATTTCAAGTTCAAGGGAGGTTATTCTGATAAATTTTGTGCTAGAGTTGTAAACCTTGTCACATATGATGTGGTTGATGACAAGCAACTTATATTTAAAGTTTGAAGAAAATACCTTAAGAAATAAAGAACTTATAGTGAAAAAACTTAAAAACTAGAATCAGAAATCTTGAAATTCAGTCTATTTGTTGCCATAGCAACCAGAATTTTCAACATAGGAAGATAAGAAAAGGATGTGAATAATTTCCATACTGCCATCTACCCATATGTCAAGTTTCATAAACATATTTTCAGTACTTTTTGTGTTATCACTGGATCCAGGTTATGTGTAAAATTTGCCATATTTTCAGTCTATTTGTTGCCATAGCAAGCAGAATTTTCAACATAGGAAGAAAAGAAAAAGACGTGCATAATCTCCATACTGCCATCTATCCATATATCAAGTTTCATAAAAATATTTTCAGTACTTTTTGCGTTATCGCGGGATCCAGTTTATGTGTAAAATTTGTCATATTTTCAGTCTATTTGTTGCCATAGCAACCAGAATTTTCAACATAGGAAGAAAAGAAAAAGACGTGCATAATCTCCATACTGCCATCTATCCATATATCAAGTTTCATTAAAATATTTTCAGTACTTTTTGCGTTATTGCGGGATCCAGTTTTGTGGACGGACGGACTGACGGACGGACAGACGGACGGACTGACGGACGGACAGACGGACGGAGGGTAAACCTAAAGTCCCCTCCGGTAAACCGGTAGGGGACTAATAATATTATACCATTAAAACTGGGATATTTTTTTGTTAAAGTCTATTTTTAATCCACTTTTGACGGCGTTTTGACACATAAAATAAATTTTGAGACCACCCCTAAATGTAAAATCCGTTACTGACAGAAGCACTTGCTATTCATTTTCAATAATTTTTAGTGTCAGTAGGCGTTATATCTGTAAAAGCTTTTGCAAAATTATAAACAAATGATTTTTACACCAAATCATGTCAATATTTCATTACTTTACTTCAGGTGTTGATCAATAGTGTTCTGTTTATTTCTTGTGGAAGCGCTTATAAACAGTCTGACGGTGACAACATCTGGTTACCTCGTTCTGATTTATGTAAGAAAAACTCGCTGTGCAATTTGAAATAAATAAAACAAAATAAGCCAAGGATGGCAAATTTATCTCTCTTTTTGATGGTATATTTGTATATTTTGAAAAAGGCATATTTGATGGAAAGGAGCATTGTTACTGCCATGTTATCCGCTATACCCTAAAATCCGCTACTGCCTTAACAACTGTACTAAAAGCTGTGTACATGCAGCATCGCTCGTAAAAGAATAATTCTCTATCATAATCCTGCGTTCGTAACGATCTTTCATTGCAGCTGGTTTGCTACCCATGTTCACTGTTGGAGCCCAGTCCCGATTGTCTCTGTCATAGAGATCAGCTCTTTTGCCTGAAAAATATTGAATGGAATAAAAGTACAAAAAAAAACCCCACGATATTTGTGCATTTGCACTTACAGTGTAGGACGCAGTTCATAAGTAAATGTCTTCTCTACGTGTTTATAACTTTTCTTCAACTTATTTAGTTATTTTTGTTTCATATCCTTATAAATATTTTTCAATGGAATTAATTTGTATTCACCGTGTAGCGTTACAGACAATTATGACAAAAGACACAATATATTTTTGTTGATAGGTTTAAAAATGAATGCCGAACTGACTGGTGCAGTTGACCATTTACCCTTTTATACTCGGGGCCATTAATCTCGCGGTATCACTAAACTCGCGGTGTTTACAAAAGCGCCACCTAGCCGTTGTAAACATAAACAATCGTGACCCGATTTCTTCACGCTTACAAAAGAAATATTTTTCATCAACATGCCGCCAATTTGGGTAAGTAAATATACACAATTAATAATATTTTAACGTTTTCAAACAAAACTATCAATAATTTCACTCACATGTTCCTGAAAATAACCCAAATCCAACAATGACATCCATCGTCTGTCAAACAACTGAGGCTCAAAGTGCTAAATTTTATGCAAATTAAGTAGACTGTGTCCAGGCCACTAAATTTGGTGTGAAACCACTAAATATTTTCCATCATTAATATATTTTAATGAATTTATATTTCAACAAAAATTAGCTTTACTTATTTGAGTTATTTCCTCTGGGATAAGTTATTTTTTTTTTCAGGACTTAAAAGTGAAAACTATCACCGGTAGACAAAAGCCTTATGATAGGGAAAATTTGCAAAGGGCATACCAGGCTTACCTTAATGGAGCATCAGTGTATAAAGCCTCAAGGATGTTTGGGGTGCCAGAGAGCACTCTTAGAGATAGAACAAGAAATAATGTTGACATTGATTGCTGTTTAGGGGCACCACGTCTCTTCAGTGAGGCTGAAGAGAGACAGCTAGTCCAACATATTGTTTATATGTCGTCTATAGGTTATGGTTATGGCTCCAGTGAACTCCGAGTTATATCAGCAGATTATGCCAAGTCAATTGGAAAACTTAACATTAAAAACTCCCTAAGTAAAGGATGGGTGCAAGCGTTCATAAAGAGGAACTCGGATGAATTAAAAGTTGTGAAACCACAGAAGTTATCCCTTAATCGAGCAAAGAATGCCTCAGCAGAAGTTATCAAAAACTACTTCAATGAGCTGTCCACAGTATTAAGAGAAAATGACCTATTAGACAAACCTCAAAATATATACAATGTTGATGAGAGTGGATTCTCAACTGAGCACAGACCTCCAAAGATTGTCTGTGGAAAGCAGTTTAAGCCCCAATGTGTGGTATCAGAAAAATCAAAAAATGTTACAGTAATTGGATCTGCTAATGCCATTGGAAATCATATACCCCCTTTTTATGTCTTCCCTGGAAAACGCTGGATGGATGAACTTCTTGAAGGTTGTGCCCCTGGATCTGATGGAGACATGTCTGAGAGTGGGTTTGTAAACCGTGGGCTGTTTGAGTCATACATGATTAACCACTTTTCAAAGCATGTCAATCTTAGAAATGATACTAAGATTATTGTTTTATATGATGGATGCAAAGCACATATCTCCTTGACTTTAACAGACTGGGCAAAAGAAAATAATGTTATTCTCTTTGTACTGCCGCCACACTCATCTCATCTTACACAACCCCTTGATGTTGGCATATTTGGCCCTATGAAGCGCCACTTTTACAGTGAATGCAAATTATATATGCATGCCAACCCAGGACGGTATATTTCCAGATATGAGGTTGCAAAACTGACTGCCAGGCCATATGCTAAGGCTTTTTGCCCTGACAATATTATACATTCTTTTAAGAAAGCTGGGATATATCCCTTTAATCCAGATGTGATATGCAATAAGCAAACTGCTCCAGCAGAGATATACCAATCAGAGCATGCTCCCTGCACAACAGAGGTGGAAAATGTAAGTTCACAGGTTATTAATAGTCCTGTTGAAACTGCTTCCCCTGAAATATCAACTCTTGAAAAAGGAAATCAATTCCTCAAAAGTAAAAAAATCACAACCACAGTTGTAAAATCAAGACCAAAGAAAAAATTTATTCCTCCAAAAAAAATTATTGGAAATCTTCATTCTGAAAAAAATCAGGAGATTCTTAAAGAAAATCATGACAAATCAGGAATTAAAGAAAACAATCAGGCAAATAGTCTGAAATCTGAAAAGACAAAAGTAAATGCAAATGTTAGTCAAATAAAAACTAACCCTAAACCATCAACATCAGGACTAAATAGTAACAAAGGTGGACCAATAAATCTTGATGAAAGCACTGAAAGTGAGGACTCCTCTTTAGAAGATGATTCTGAGCCCTGTTGCCAGTGCAAAAATTCTTTTCCACCACATTTGAAAGGATATCCAGGTCTGGTAATCCTTAAGTGGGCTCAATGTGACACATGTGGTCACTGGGTACATCTCACACACTGTTGTGAAATATCAAGTATCAGAAGAGGTGTCAGTTTCTTCTGCAAATGCTGTGAATAAATTAAGACTGTCTGTTAAAAATGCAAAAGTTTTTATGTTATTGTTGTTGAATTTACTAGTTAACTTGTTGTGACAATGATATGATTTGAAGTTCTTCCTGACTTAAAAAAAATAGTTGTTTTTAACCTTACAATAGACAAATGTGCTTGTATACCAGTCTACCGCGAGTTTAGTAGCCTCCCCTGATTGCAAATGGCTGCCACAATATGACATTTGGTGACCTAATTAAACTGTTACTGAGTGACTTCTTCGTTGTACGAATGTGTCATTTTGAAGAAATTGGATGAAATTTAAAGTTTCTGAAAACTATTAGATTTGGTAAGTTTATTTACATAAATTATTCGTTGTAAAAGCGTTATTGCCGCGAGATTCGTGGCCCTCGGTATACATGGAGTTTAATCATAAAGTTTGAAAAAATAAATACATTAAGCCCCAAAGATCTATGCACGATTATTATAATTTCATGTAAAATAAGATAATTATTTCAAAGCGTTTGATGATGAAATCTATTTACCTGACAGAAAATGAGCTGAGCAAACTCGGATGTTTTTCAGGTTTTTCCCCGAGAAATCTTGGTCTAATTTTGCTAACAAAACCATTCGTCTTTCTTCTGCATATTTCTGCGTCGTTTCACCCTGGTTTACAATAACTTCAGACAACCTGTAATATGACAATTGACTTTCTCTATTTGATCTGTTATGACACCCGTTAACACGACAATAATTCACCATCTTGTAAAGATTTTACCAATAATGTTGATAGCGAATACCTCCAATATGGCGGACACAAAAATATCCCGCTTTCAACACTGTTTATGATGACTGTGATTTTTGTATATTTGGAGATTTTAATGCAAAAAGTGGTAGACTTGCTGACTTTACAGACTTAAATAAGTACATTGCTGATAGGTTTTTTGATAACAGTACAAAACAATTGATTGGACAAAGTCGTCTTATTGAATTAGGATTTCCTGTCGATCGTTACTCGCGTGATATGCATAACTGTAACAATTATGGTAATAGACTTCTTCAAGTTTGTAAATTTACAGATGTCCATATTGCTAATGGTCGATGTGGTGCTGATGCCTATATAGGAAAATGCACAACTACAAATACTAGTCTGATTGATTATGTTTTATTGTCTGCTATTAACTTTCCTAAAGTAACCCACTTTGATGTGACAGATATTAATCCACTATTTTCTGGTGTTCGTTGTGGTATAGAATTATGTTTTAATATTATTGGAAAGGATCTTACTTGTAATGTAGATAATGTAGTTTTGCAAAACGATAACAATGAGGCCATTATTAAATCAACATGGGATAAAAATCTGAAGGATGATTATATAAATCAGTTTGATAATATTGATACAAATAATATTACAGAAGAAATGATTAAAATATTAAATGATAAGAATTATAATGATGAATGTATTAATTCCTTGACTGAAAAACTGTCAAGTATCATAACTAATGCTGCTAAAAGGTGTAATTTAATACAAGAAAAAAAATATTTCACAGAAAGAAAAAATGCAAACTTGACCAAAAATGGTTTGATAAAGATTGCTCGAAATTTAGAAAGGAATATTACCTAAGCAGAAATACCTATAGGAAAAATAAAACCGAAGGTAATAAAAACCTTATGATGATAAACAGTAAAAGATATAAAAAAGAATTAAATAAAAAGTTTAACAGTTTCAATGACAATGTCATAAAAAAACTGAGAGGATTAAAGCATAGTGATCCTAAATCTTATTGGAGTTTATTAAATAAATATTCTTCTGATAAAAAAGTGATAATAAATAAAATAACTAATGAGGTTTTCCATGAGCATTTCAGTAATTTGAATGCAGATATTTTAAGAAATGAAAATGACGTAGATAATTTTAATGTTAACAACTTACCAATGTTTAATGAGGCACTGAATTCGCAATTTACTGAGCAAGAAATAGATAAGGCTATAAAGGCGCTTAAGAATAATAAAAGTCCATCTATATTAGATAATATTATTAATGAGTATCTCAAAAATGCTCCTGATTATCTGCTGGCTGTACTTACGATATTTTTTAACATTATATTAGACTCTGGTATCTTTCCGGATGTGTGGAGCAAGGGAGTTATCTTACCATTGTATAAAAATAAAGGGGATGTTAATGATCCGGATAATTACAGGGGCATAACAATACTCAGTTGCTTTGGAAAACTTTTCACTTCGGTACTTAATAACAGATTAAATGACTTCTTGGAATCAAACAAAATTCTATGTGAAGAACAAGCAGGTTTCAGGAAGCATTATAGTACTGTTGATCACATATTTTCATTAAAACTTCTAGTGGACGTATATCTAGCACATGGAAAAAAATTGTACATGTATTGTGCATTTGTAGATTATCGCAAGGCCTTTGATTCTGTAAATCGCACTGCCATGTAGCATAAATTATTAAGTTACAATATTGATGGGAAATGCTTTAAAATAATACACAATATGTATGACAAAGCTAAGTCATGTGTTAGTTCGAATAATACAATTTCAGATTTTTTCACTAGTCATACTCGAGTAAGACAAGGTGAAAACTTATCTCCAATATTGTTTTCTCTTTTCTTGAATGATCTAACTAATTTTATGTCTGATAAATATGAAGGTTTGCAGTTTCTAAAAGAACATATAAATGATATGTTAAGTGATGATGAAATGGAAGTTTATCTTAAACTGTATTTACTATTGTATGCGGATGACACTGTAATATTGTCAGAGAGCTCTCAGCAGCTTAGTTAGCATTAAACGCTATGTCTGACTACTGCAAGCTTTGGAATCTTGAAGTAAATACAAATAAAACCAAAGTTATTATATTTTGGAAAACCAAGAGAGGTTTGCGTAATATGCCTAACTTTCACTATGAGGGGACTGTCCTTGAAATTGTTGAGCATTTCTCATATTTAGGTGTCCAATTTTCATTTAATGGTAAATTCAGCAGAACTAAAATATTCCTTATTGATCAAGCCCGTAAAGCCATGTTTTCTGTAATTAGGAAATCTAGGATACTTAATTTACCAATAGATATGCAATTACACTTGTTTGATACAATGATAGCACCCATTTTGTTGTATGGGTGTGAAGTTTGGGGTGTTGAAGATGTGAGTGTTGTGGATAAATTTCAATTAAAATACCTAAAGATAATTCTACAGTTGAAACAGAGTACTCCAAATGCTATGATTTATGGGGAGTTGGGTATTACCCCACTTTCAACACAAATTAAAAGTAGAGTTCTCAATTACTGGGGTAAAATAGTTAATTCTAAACATGATAAGATAGTCAGCATTCTATATAGAACAACTCATAATTTATATACTCTGAATAATATTAAATCAGATTGGGTCTGTTTTGTTCGAAATAATTTAAATGATCTTGGATTGTCGCATTTTTGGATAAATCAAAATGTGGAATCTCCTGCTTCATTCAAGAATACTGTCAAATTAAGATTGCGTGATCATTTTATGCAAAATTGGAGAAGGACAATTAATAATTCCAGTAAATGTCTAAATTACAGGATTTATAAACAGGATTTTTGTTTTGAGCCATACATCAGCAAGTTACCTATGAATTTAGCTTTAATTCTCTTTAAATTTAGAAGTATGAATCACAAACTTCCTATTGAAAAAGGAAGGTTTGATGATATTCCAAGAGAACTTAGAACTTGTAACCTATGTACCAGTAACTCTTTAGGCGACGAATTCCATTATCTTCTTGAATGTTCACATTTAGTCAATACAAGAAAGCTGTATCTTGATAAATATTTCTATGAACGTCCAAGTGCTTTAAAATTTGAAAAATTAATGAACCATATTAATAAAGATATTCTTTTGAAACTTGCCATATTTTGCAAAAATATTATGTTATTATTTAAATAATGTTAGCTTATTAGATTATGTATTTTCTCTTTGTTTTTTTCTCGCAATGAATTTTGATTTTTCTCTCTCATCCTCCATTATCAGTCAATTATTACAGTAATTTTATTACATCATGGAGTTGTATGATCATTTATAATTTGCCATTTTGTAGTATTTTGTTTTTACATATTATTTGCCATTTTGTAGTATTTTGTATGTTTGTACTGTTTTGTGTTGTCACATGCCCATATGGGCCCTGACGTATTCAAATAAACCTTGAAACCTTGAAACCTCTGACAGTTACCTCCCCTACAAAAATGGAGGCATAATTTTTAAGTTTAATAGCCGACTCCTATAAGGCCTTCGGAGACAGGAAATAGAAACAAATATGCTATACAGCGTCTATAAACGACGAAAAATTTGGGAAGCATTAGTATGTAAAGTACAAATGAAATATATTTCTTTGCAGATACATTTGTTAGTTCAAGTGTCTCAAATTCGGACGAATTACCATTCGGACAAATAATTACACAGTACACAGTTTGAATAAGTGTTCAACATTTTCTGTAACATTAGTATGTGTAATAAAATGCACATCTTTGAAGCCATATGCTATTAGATCTGTTGAATAAGGCATAGCTTGTGACCAGTGTGATGACATCATTTCTGCATGGTTTCATGCTAAATGCCAAGGTATAGGCGACTCCACCTACTGACTCAAGGTTTGTTTGACACTGGACTAAATGTGGCAGTTCAAATTTCTCCCTTTTTCTCTCATAATCCCTTAATAGTCTGAGTGAAAATACATATTTTTCTCCCCTACAATCCCTCAGTAATGATGAAAACTCTTATTCCCATCATGATTCCCATCATCTAGATTAATTACAGTCACTCTAGCCCCAAAACCCAGCCCATAGCAACTTCAACGCCAAATGCTAAAAATAAAAAAGTTAAACCCCCAAGAACAACAAAACTTAAAACACTAAAACGCCTTACTGTCCTAAATATTAATTGTCGCTCGGTTGAAAATAAGATTCCCAGTCTACAACAGGTTATCACCCAAATAAAGCCAGACATACTGGGTCTTACAGAACTTGACTGAAACCGGAAATAAATTCTTCGGAAATTTTTCCAGACCACCTGAATTTCAATATATATAGGGATGATAGGTTGAATAGCCCAGGAGGGGGGGTGGGGACCCTGTTTGCCATATCACGATCTATTATGAGCAAGGAACAGCGCTAGGGCTTACATCAAATCGAAGTGTAATGCTATCTGGGCAACGATTACCCTTAAAGGTATAAGAGATATATATATTTCCTCTTTGTACAAACATCATGAGAACGATGAGGAATCCCTAAACCAACTATGGTCAACCCTAAGTAACATCCCAAGGAATAGCTCAATTTGCAGGGCCTTTTCACTAGTTTTGGGGAAGGCGCCCTAGCCCTTTTTGTGGGGAAAAAAAGCGCGATTTTCACACTTTTGGGGAAAATATCATATTTTCACACATTTCGGGGGAATATCATTTATTTGGATATCTTCCTCCTATCACATTTAAGGTTTACTATAGTACTGAGCTTTCTGTCCAACATGAGTAAAAGACACTTTTTACAGATTAATTTATTGCCCCTTTATATTAACTCATACATGTATTTCCTATTTATAGTATTTTACGTTGGTCATGTGAGGGTTCTTGGTTTGAATTAGAGGGTACAATACTACATTATTGTCAGTTTACACTGTATTACTGGCACTGATGTGCTAGGCTCGCTATTTCCTCAGATGGGCATGTTGTGCTACTCGGACACATGGGCTTGCTAGGGGATACATGTATTGGATTCT